TTTTTTTTTTTTTTTTTTTTTTTTTTTTTTTTTTTTTCCAATTAGCTACATTTTAAGGTTCTTCATGGCAGTCCTTATCTAAATCTTCTCTAATTATTCTCCCTTGTCATTAATACTTGAATTTCAAAATGCCTATACCCATTACCTTGGTTGCATCTAGACTTCGTTACCAATTTATAAAATTGGAGCATATCTATTATTCATTTTTGTCAGTCCACCTTTCCCGTGAATGGTTTGCGTCATTATTGGAACAAGGTCTTACTGGTCAGTGTCCAAATGAGTAAGCATCAATTTGATGTCATTTGGAAGTCAACATGCATTTGGATGGATAAATGTTCGGATGGACCTCACTGTCACTCTCATGTTCTCGACTCTAGATTTCTGCTTTATCTTGATTTCTTTAGCATAGTTCTTTATTCTGTAGTCTTCTCCTTTTTTATTTTTTTTATGTGTTTGAGATATATACTTCTTAATGTTTTCAGTCATGGACAAAGGAGGAGACGGATCAATTATTTGACTTGTGTGAACGGTTTGATCTTCGCTTCGTTGTGATAGCTGACAGGTTTCCATCAACAAGGACAGTGGAGGAACTAAAGGAGCGATATTATCGTGGTACATGTAACTTTTTCTAGTCTATTGTGGCAAGCATTTTTTGTTTACTCTTAGGTTGCCAATTTGTGTTGTAAATTTTTTTTGAATCATTTACAAATGCACTTGTGATTATTGAAAATTTATGGTATGAGATTATATGTTTATAGCATCAAGAGCAATTTTGGCAGCTAAAGAACCAACGCCTCGGGAAAGTTCAGGGAATACTCTCGCCAAGGTAGGTAATTTTGAATTGGATATATTTTGCAATTTTAACATTTTAAGTTGGAGTTCTTGCATATTAATTTCCTTTAAAAGATCCATGAAGCATCCTATAGTTGAGGTTGCTTATCAAATTAGCGATCTGTATGGTTTTCTTATTTATTCTTTATATGTAGGATCCTTACAGTGTCTCACAAGAGATTGAGCGCCAACGGGCATTGTCCATGGTTCTCTCCCAAACGAAACAGCAAGAACGAAAAGATGCAGAGGTTTTGATTCTTTAATGTTTTAATAAATAGAAATACCCAATAATGAATTAGTGTTTATACATATGGATAAGTCTAAGGCCTTATATGTTGTTTTTTAAAAACTATTGATCGTTTCAGGTTCTAGCTGAAGCAAAAAAGATAACTGAATCTCGCAGAGATGAAAGAGTGAGTTTAAGTCGTATTTGCTAATTTTTTTAGGCATGGCGCTTTGCACATGAATGCACAAAGCAGAGTACAAGTTCACTTCGAGATTAGCATTACAGGATGTCGTGCTTGAAAGAAATTGCATTATTAACACCTAGGTTTTTAATTATTGTGCCATAAAAATGTTAGTAGTATAAATGTCATGGTGTGCGGATAACCAGGCCATTGAGGTATACCTTCATCTCTTAGGGTACGAAACTTCAAAGCTAAAACTACTCATCTTCTTTACTATCAAGTTTATTCCGATTAAAGTATGTCTGTGCATTATCTTTTGGAACATGGCCTATAGCCAAGTTTAAGAATACCATCCCCTTCTGTCTGGACTTAGAAAGCATAACTAAATTTTATTTTGATGGTATGTATTTCTCAGTGGTCTCTCTCTCTCCCCCCCGGGTGTCATTCCTTTACTTCTCATATTAATAACTTATCCTATTTTATATATCTAGAGCTGGTTTATGATCTTGGTTTTATTCATTTTAGGTGCCTGAAAAATCTGAGCTGCCTGTCACTTCAAATGCTGTCCCTGGAGCTACTGAAAGGGCTGTCGTTCCTGGAGATTCTTTACCATCTGTATCCAATGTGCAGCCCCCTCCTCCAGCAGCTGCACCTTCAACTTTAGTGGCGGATAATGCTTCTACTCTTGCTTCTCTTCGCATGGTATATGGCCTGAAGGAATTATATTTAGCTTTTGCCTGTAAATTTTGAGAATCCCTTTTATAGCTTCATTTTTTTTTTTTTTTTTTTTTTCAATT